TTGTTCAATTTGGTACATACATTAAACATAATAGGACCTTGATGCACGTCTTTTTTTTTCCGGATCAAGTTCGAAATGGCCGACTGGCGGCCATTTTGTTAAAGAATTCAGTTCTGGATCCGTATCCAAGACATGTCTGGATTGATCAAGTTCAAACTTCACACACACATGGTACATCATGTCACAAATAGATATGTGCATTTGTTTCATCATCTGCTTAACAATAGCGGAATGATGGCCATTTTAAGGCCGAAAATGCATCAAAATCACGTATTTTCACAATTCCAGAACCGGATCTCAGTCATGCATGGATGGATTTTGTTCAGATTTAGCACAATGTGTTGTACATATGCAGGTGCATTTCGGTCATGATCTGCTTTGAATGTATATGTCACTCAAATATGAACGGAACGGGGACGTGTCATTGACAATGACTTGTTTTCTATTGTTTTAGCAGCTCTGGATTTGGTAAAATTTACATGCAACAATCCCAAATCATATCAGTTCTTATTTCATTGAAACAGTTAAATGATGTCACTGAGCTATTTGTTGATGTCACACTTAACAATCTGATGATGTCACTAAGCAAGATGATGTCATACTTAACAATCTGATGTCACTAAGCAAGATGATGTCACACTTAACAATCTGATGATGTCACTAAACAAAATGATGTCACACTTAACAATCTGATGATGTCACTAAACAAGATGATGTCACTGAATAAGTTTCATGATAGGTTTTAGGGGAATGTACTGAACAGCAATCGATATTTATAGTCTCAATATATTTCATTATGATTTCTCATCTGATAGTGACTGAAGAGAATGAATTGTTTGCAAAATAAACTTTTATAGGGAAGATGATTCATTTTTGTCAAAAATATGTTCATTATGAATATGCAGACTTGTGGATGTTTTACCAAGGTAACAATGAATTAAGTAAAAGTTAGCCAGGAGGCCATGTTAGCTGTCTTCCACCAAGGACATGTAGATGCAGGTGATACACTGACTGGCCACCGTCTGGTCCACTATTGATCACAACCCGGTAACCGTTTTTCAGACCCAGGTCAGCTGCTACTTTCTTAGCAACCATTAAAAGATGACCCAGCATCTGGAAAGACAAAAACGGTAACATTGAAGACACACTATTAAAAGATTATCATTTTTCAAACCTAGTATACGGTTAATGCAACTGCCCATTACCATGAGCTTCTATTTGAAATGCACTTCTATTTTGGAGATGCACTTCTATTTTGGAGATGCACTTCTATTGCAGATTTACTTCTATTGCAGATGTACTTCTATTGGAGATGCACTTCTATTTTGGAGATGCACTTCTATTGCAGAAGCGCTTCTATTTTGGAGAAGCGCTTCTATTTTGGAGAAGCGCTTCTATTTTGGAGAAGCGCTTCTATTTTGGAGAAGCGCTTCTATTTTGGAGAAGCGCTTCTATTTTGGAGAAGCGCCTCTATTTTGGAGAAGCGCCTCTATTTTGGAGAAGCGCCTCTATTTTGGAGAAGCGCCTCTATTTTGGAGAAGCGCCTCTATTTTGGAGATGCGCCTCTATTGGAGATGCGCCTCTATTGGAGATGCGCCTCTATTGGAGATGCGCCTCTATTGGAGATGCGCCTCTATTGGAGATGCGCCTCTATTGGAGATGCGCCTCTATTGGAGATGCGCCTCTATTGGAGATGCGCCTCTATTGGAGATGCGCCTCTATTGGAGATGCGCCTCTATTGGAGATGCGCCTCTATTGGAGATGCGCCTCTATTGGAGATGCGCCTCTATTGGAGATGCGCCTCTATTGGAGATGCGCCTCTATTGGAGATGCGCCTCTATTGGAGATGCACCTCTATTGGAGATGCGCCTCTATTGGAGATGCGCCTCTATTGGAGATGCGCCTCTATTGGAGATGCACTTCTATTGGAGATGCACTTCTATTGGAGATGCACTTCTGTTGAGGATGCCATTCTATTTGAGATGCAGTTCTAATAGAGCAAAAATGGTATTATGATGACTATAAACACACTTTCATCACTTGTACTGTAAATACATGTAATAATGACAAAATAGTTTTATTTTGAGGGTCCCGACATGTCAATAAACATGGCTGCAACAATTTTCACTAGCAGTCAATATTGTGTAAAAGACTTGCGCAGATTGATTGATCTAATTACTTACCTGAGTGTCTTCTTCCTCTGCCTTAGGCAACATTTCAAGTGCTTTCTTAGGAACAACTAAAAAGTGTGTTGGTGCCTGTGGACTGATGTCCTTGAAAGCAATCGCCTGTAATATAGACACATATATTGCTTTTCAACAGTTGATACAATAATGCTTCAAGGATCCTCACAAGAATACTATGAGGTTATTACGAGAATACCGTAAACTATGCATGAAGGCAGTACAGTGAAGTCAATGCAATATACCAAACTATCCAAGTGTATATTTTGTGATATTAATCTCATAACCTACATGTACTTAATATATATCTTTTCCCTGCTTGTAGTATTAGTTTAATGAGATAACGACCTGGCAATAAAGAATATTTACAGTACATGAACGCTTACATTCAGTGACATTTCCATCATATGCTGATCTACACTGTGTGAGAAGTTTACAGTGCATGAACATTTACAGTGCATGAACATTTACAGTGTGTGAAGTTTACAGTGCATGAACGTTTACAGTGTGTGAAGTTTCAGTGCATGAACGTTTACAGTGTGTGAAGTTTACAGTGTGTGAACGTTTACAGTGTGTGAAGTTTACAGTGCATGAACATTTACAGTGTGTGAAGTTTACAGTGCATCAACATTTACAGTGTGTGAACGTTTACAGTGCATGAACATTTACAGTGTGTGAACATTTACAGTGTGTGAAGTTTACAGTGCATCAACATTTACAGTGTGTGAACGTTTACAGTGCATGAACATTTACAGTGTGTGAAGTTTACAGTGTGTGAACGTTTACAGTGCATGAACGTTTACAGTGCATGAACGTTTACAGTGTGTGAAGTTTACAGTACATGAACATTTACAGTGCATGAACGTTTACAATGTGTGAAGTTTACAGTGCATGAACATTACAGTGCATCAACATTTACAGTGTGTGAAGTTTACAGTGCATCAACATTTACAGTGTGTGAACATTTACAGTGTGTGAACATTTACAGTGTGTGAACATTTACAGTGTGTGAACATTTACAGTGTGTGAACATTTACAGTGCATGAACATTTACAGTGCGTGAACGTTTACAGTGTGTGAACGTTTACAGTGCATGAACGTTTACAGTGTGTGAACATTTACAGTGTGTGAACGTTTACAGTGTGTGAACATTTACAGTGCATGAACGTTTACAGTGCATGAACGTTTACAGTGCATGAACATTTACAGTGTGTGAACATTTACAGTGTGTGAACATTTACAGTGTGTGAACATTTACAGTGCATGAACATTTACAGTGTGTGAACGTTTACAGTGCATGAACATTTACAGTGCATGAACATTTACAGTGCATGAACATTTACAGTGCGTGAACATTTACAGTGTGTGAACGTTTACAGTGCGTGAAGCCATAAATATTTTTCCAGTGTACTTCTTATATTTTAGTTTTCTTATTTTTTCTACTTTTAGATGTTTTTGTTGTTATATTTTGTTATTTTAGTTTATGTAACTTAGTTTCTTTTTGTCTGTCAAAAGTTTTTTCATTAGTCTTTGCGTGAAATGTATTTTTTATTTGGTGCAGCTTCTAATTTACATAGTGAGCCCCTGTTACAAAAGGGAAGCAATAAATAAATAAAAAGCCAGAACTGATGTGAAAATTATAAGAATATTATGAATTTCAAACATGTCTACCATCTTTGAAATATCATGTGAATGTTTTGCTTCTCGTGATCATGTGCGTCAGTTTGAAACCTGCACCTCACATGTTTTCTTTGGCAATTTCATGTGATTGAAAATTGTGCCATATATATTTGAGAAATGGCTGTTGTTTCAGAGGATGTATTTTTTTATCAAAACCAACCAACAATAAACATATTTCAAAGCACTATTACTGCTATTAAATGTAGAACAACTAAAGAAAATGTTTATAGGTTCTTTGTTAAAAATTTCCGAGCAGCAAACACCGTTTACAGTAATTGACGTAATAAATATTGTTTTCTATCTAAAAAAAGTTTTCTATTTACTGGTTATAATTTCTAATATTATTTCATGTTAAACCAAAACAAAATCAAAGAAAGCTTAGAAAGAACTCCCATGTGCTGAGAGTATTGGAGACACATTAAATATAATTCGAAATTACTTAGCTGAAAACTAATTATGCCAATCAGAAAATTAATATGACCAGATTTGAGTGTAAAACTAATGAGGTCTGCGCAATGTAACAGAAAATCTATGTTTCCAAGTTTAATTGAAATGTGATTAGAACCAAAAAATTATGAATTATTATGCTTACTAGGGAATTAATATGAACTGATTTTTACCCCAAACTAATTAGGTTTGTACATTGTCCTAGAGCATCTTTGTACTAAGTTTCATTGAAATGGAATACTTAGTACTTTAGATATCAGTGTGAAAGCTTAAAATTGATTAATTATGCAAATTAGGTAATTAATATGTACAGATTTTAACCCACAATTATTCAGGTCTGTCTATTGTCCTACAGCATCCATGTACATTCATTGATATGTGATGTATAGTACCTGAGATATCAGTGTGAAAGTTGGTTAATTATGCAAATTAGGTGATTAATATGCACAAATATTTACCGGAAACTAATTGGGTGTGCATAATTCTAG